TACAGCACTCATACTGAAAAAGCTTGACCCCTTGACTGAGCTCATCTCTCTGGTATCTCAGCTAAAGAAAGGAAGCAGTAAAAGGTCATTCAGGTAAATCTGTAACCATGCATCAGGGAGCCACTGGACATCACATCCACCCATGTGCCCGGGGCCTGGGGGCCTGACTGTAGGAGCAGAATGGAATTCTACAGTTCCTATATCCTCCCCAGATTTCACCACCTAGGCTCACAGCAGAGCCTGGACTCCGGTCATTTGCCCCTCAGTCAGCTTCCCTCAGTCTCCAGGAGTCCTCTTCGGTGGTGGCCATGGGAAGGGAAGGAAGTGTTCCAGCTTCCCAGGGACTCCATGGTTGACTTCAGAGTCCAGGCTGAGAGCCCAAGACGGTGCTGACCTCGTCATGATCAACCATGCCACAGTACGTGGTCCTTTCCCCAGCAAGAGGCAGATCCCACCACACTTTACTTCTAAGGGGTTGATTTTCAGTAGCAAGAGGGGCAGCAACAGTGCAGGACCGGGGCAAACCCTAGTTCTGTGAGGTGATCTAACTTTTCACATTTCAGAGCATGATTTTCACATTTCAATTTTATTCATAGATTGGAAGCTATTTTACATCTCTGCCAAATATCTGTGTGAACTTTCTATCAATAGAAAAAGTATACAGACTGTCCATGTGGACTATACTAATAGAGTATATGTGCTCATGCATGAGTTTATATGCTGTATATATTGGATGGATAAGCATTTTAGGATACATATTTTTACAAATACATTTCCACATGGATGTAGCTAGACCGCATATGGCTATTTGATGGAAGCATATGTATTGTCACTCTGCACGATTCAGTTTTAATTGTAGTCTGTATCTAATATAGGCCTTACATTCCATTATAGTAGTCATGGTTGTGAAAGCCAGTAGGCTGGGTTCCCCCACTAGGCTGGCTTCAGGTGGTTATTAGTACTTCAGTCTCTGGAATCATAGTGCCTGTCTCCATTCTCCTGCTGTTCTGTTGTTACTCATGTGTCACCGGCATCTCTGGTATGAGGTTCAGTGATTCAGAGGCAGGAGTTTCAAAACTTTCCCCTGGCTGACACTGTCATGTGCTACCTGTGCAGCCCTCAGCTTCCTGCCCCTATCCACCAACACACAGGGACCAGCTCCACAGTCTGCAGTCCCCCCAGGCCTTAATCATATTTAGTTATTTACACTGAATTGCTTTTTCCCGTTTTCTAAGTTCCCTCTCTCTCTTTTCTGGTGGTTAAATTCCACAAGCCCAAGATAATATCCACACTTGCTTGTCATATTGCTGCTACCACAACCACAATTACAAGGAGCAAAGGGTTAATTATTTCATGTTTTAAGAATATAATAGGCTGTGCTCAAGGTAGAAACAGCATAGAGAAAGGTATCGGAGGCACACAACTGTTCAGTTCATGGTAGCCAAGAAGCACAACTGAGGAACAGTACCAGAGGTGAAGGGGCCAGAGATCCTGGAGGTCGTGCTTCCATGATCCATGCATACACATCCAGGAGCATCCTATCCTAAACTGCTAAATTAACCTGCTTGTTCACCTGTCAAGATTAACTATCAAAACTTTCCCTCTGTGAATTTCACACCAAACACATTTCCTTAAAATGTATTTTTCTCCAAATGAAGATAATAACACCTAGTTCCTGATTCAACCAAACAAGATGCAGTTATCACCTATATGACCAGAAGTAACATAATCCCTTCTTGAAAGTCTTCACAGCCCCAGAATTTATCAAAAGCCAAGGTCCAAATCTCTTCTGAGCCTCAAGTCAAATCTGAGCTTTGAGTTTGTGTCCAAAGTCACCTACAGGTCAAATGCCTACCACAAAGGAATGAGGTCATCAGAAGTGTCATTTAACTGTGTCTAGGGTATACTTTTCTTAATTTTTTTAGTATACAAAAATGTGACTATGTATTGTGATTCTAGTGTGCATTTGTAGATGTGGTTTTCATTTACCCCTTAAATTCAATGATCTTGCATGGTTCATACAATATCTTGGAGCCCTGCACACACAGGGTAACTTGTTCTCATCCTAGATACGGCAATGCTTGGTGCTTCTCAAATAGGATAGGGAACCGTACACTGAGCTGTGCAGGCTGGCCATGGAGCACAGCAACAATACATGTTACAGGGCTGCTTCACTGTAATCGGTCTCTCCCCCAAACTCTGTTAGGGACAGACCTTTTGAAGGATCTACACAATTCCCAAGGAACATCTTGCAGTGTGCCTTCCCCAAGTCTCCTACATTCATATTTGGTGGCAGTACCAGAGTAATATACTACAATCTCTTTGCCACAACTTTGATTTTTAACACGGATCTTATTGACACATTCATATTAACCACACTGTCACTTTCAGCAGGTTTTGGCGAATTTGTAATTGTAACAGAACCCCAATTACAGTATTATTCAGAATAGACTTCCCGTCCTAGAAATTCCCCTCCCATAACATAATCAACCTTTCTTCCTTCTTTTTCTGTGAATCACTGCCAATCATGGAACTTTTATCATTTCTCTCAACTTGCCTTTAACAGAATGCTACATAATTGTCCAAAGTAGAAATTTTCAGAATGATCTGGAAATCAGAGTGGGATTCAGGTTGGGTGGAATGGAAAATAGGATAGGCACTAGAGGCACTAGAGGACTCAAACAAAGAGTCTCAAGCTGATCTTGTCATTTACTGAACAGTTATTCTGAGAAGATCCACAGCCAAGTAATTCTAAAGTCCTTTATCTATAAAATGGGCTTGACATGTATTTTGGGTTGTAGGCCCAGTGGAACATAAAAAGAGTATTAAAATACCTACCAGAATTTCTGTCATATTCTATATTGAAGACATGTCAACAAGCAGCTTGTTCTAGAACTCTTATCCCTGGATTCTATCATGCTTTTCCTATAAAGATTGAGTGTGCAGGTAAACAGGAAAACGAAAAGAAATTCAGGTAAAATGCTACTCAATAAACATTCCACCAATGTGTTTTATTCAGTAGGAGGTATTCTTTGATTTGATGTTGGGGAGAAATTCCTTGCTGGGAGCAACTATTTCAATGCTTTGGGACCTTGAATGAAAAACCATATTCCCCACCCTGCCAGCTCTTCCTCTACTGACAATACTATTTTGAACCATTATCACCTTCACAAAACTCTAGGCTTGGGGATCATTAGGCCTCTGTGACAAAGAAGCATAAAACCCTGGCCATTATAGCAACAAGGCCAGCTCAGCACAGATGCAGGTCCATAGATCTTCAAGGCAAATTACATACTGCAACAAAACAGCTTAAACTTCCTTCACAAAGAAAGGTAAAAAATGAGGAAGTCCTGCCATGAGACAGGAGTTGGAGAAGGTTTTCTGGATGGAGAGCCTCTTGGTCAGGAAGTGATGGGATCACTCCTGGAAGAGGCCCACACCACTGACCGGATTACAACAGTGACTTGGAAGACTGCTCAGGCGATGCTGACACATGAGAAGTGAACTGGGGAAAGCAGTCAAGTGGGCACTGCAAGTGGACATTCCAGCAGAGAAAAGAGGACCTGGGCAGGGACTTTCAGGCCTCACTTCACCTGACAGTCACCATTACCTCTCAGGAAATCCTTGGAGAAGTTGGGACAAAGTTCCCTGGTTCGTGCTCTACCTAGCACCACTCTTCCCCCTTCGCATCGTCACCAACCATCTAAAAGGGCCGCTCAGAGCCATATTCCACTTTCTTAGACCTTTATCTCAGGCCCAGGATACCTCATCTGAGGATGTGGTCCTGGGTCACTTTTCAACTACATTAAAATCAAAGCCTGCACAATGAATTGCCAAGTCTCAAACTGCCATGGCTCAGCACTCACCCAGAGCTAAGAGCTGACAGCTAGGAGCTTTTTCATGGTTCTTAGTTCCTTGGCAACATACCTTTATCTTCCAGACACTTATGGACTCCACCACCCACTCCACTCCTGGACTCCACCATCCTATGCGGTGGTAGAGTCCTGCTCAGCCTAGTATAATCAGATTTTTACTACAGACACAGTGCATAACAAAGGGTACATGTTCAAAGAAGGTTTGGAGTCAATGTGAGCACGAGAAGAAGGGAATCTTTATTGAAAAAAAAATCCTCTCAGATAATGGAAGAAACCAAACATATGCAGGTATAAATACATTTTAATAGTTTATGAAAATAGGCCAAAAGCAATGATAAAGATTTCTATCCCTATGCCTATTCCTGAACTCCATTTAATTTGATGTAAACTTCTGATGCATTTCCAAGGAAATACTTATTCTTGTTTTTTTTTTTTTTTTTTTTTTTTTTTTTTTTTTTTTTTTTTTGGTATTTTTTGAGACAGAGTCTCACTATGCAGTTCAGGCTGGCCTTGAGCTCACTTTGTAGTCCAGGTTGGTCTCTAACTCCCAATGATCCTCCCACCTCAGCCTCCGGAGTGCTGGGATTGCAGGCGTGAACCACCACGCCCGGCTTGGAAATACCTATTCTAAAACAATGTTATCCTCTTCAACATAGAATGAAAGGATTCCAAGTTGGTTTGACAAAATAGCAAAGACTCTTACACATGGCAGGGAAGAGTAAAATTCCTGTGTGATCACTATCATAGAAAATCACATTCACATCAGTATATGTGCTGCCGAAGTGAGCGTCACTTTCACATCAGAAATCACAAATAACTGTCAATATCACCAACCTGGAAATACACATGTGATCAATATCATTATGCAAATAACCTGGGCAAGCTATGCCAAACTTGCAAACCAGGAGCAAGACATCAAAAAGTCATAAAGAAAACATGAGTGTATTTCAAAATAGTCTGAAGTACAGACATATAGATTGCATGTATAGGAGTTTACTTCTATCCTGAATACTTGGAAAATAATCAGAAACACAGACAGAAGAAGGAGACTCATATCTTATAGGAGTGGGAACAAAGATAATGATGTGAGTATCGCTCTCTGTTGCTGACATGCACTTTGCCCCTTCACTGGCTCCTATCCCTTGAACGGGTGGCCTCTTGCTCCTCTCTCAAAGCCTCTTCATATAGATTCGTGTAGGACTTGGGATCTCTCCTATTAACCTTCGCCAAATGCTCGAGGACTTTCATCTTGCTCGTTTCAGCATGGGCTCTTGGACCCCACAGGAACTCGTACTTAGCAGGATCACTATTGGGGACCAGTTTACTCTCCAGGTATTCTTTCTGCACCAAATCCTTTGTGATGAAACCCCATGGGTCTCCAATAATAAAACGCTTCCTCTGAGGTAGCATTTCTCTTGTTAATAGGAATTCCTTTAAATCTACCTCACTGATGCGGTTACCCTTTAAGAAGATGACAATGAGAATGACTACCAGAAGGTTGATTTTGGAAATGCTCTGGCAATCGTCACTCATTATACCATTATAAGTGAGGCCCAAGATAGGCTTAAGGACATATTTTTTGCTAGCAGGATACAGTTCTTTCACATCAATGCCAAAAGCCAGACACATGCATTCACATATTGCCTTGAATAATGGAGAGAAGTGCACACGGTCTCGTGCGTTAATATTGTACAGCATTTCTTCCTTTGTGATAGACTCCTTCTTTTGATACTTGTAAAGCAGGACAGGCAACAGTTTAGTTAACTTCTTGTCTTGGTACAGGGGGCACAGCATGTGAAGGACAAGCACATCCGGGGAGGTGCGTAGATCCTCTTCTTGCCTGCTGCTGTCCTCACAGGATTGGTCTTTCTCAGCACAGGCCATGGCAGTGGTGGATAGGACACACCCTGAGGATCCTGGGGTTAGCTTGCTGTCTCAGCCCCACACACTTCACTTGATATAGCAGGGATCTGAACACTAGAGGGTGAGAAGCCAGAGGAAGCAGTGGGCGCTTCTTCCTCTGACACGCTTCAACACTCACACACCTACCAGGCCCTGCGACCCACTTTGGACAAGTTGGCCTCCCCCTACTTTGCTGAGCTGTGTCCACTCACAGTGAAGACATCCTGAGGAATCTTGCGGTAGCAAGTGCTTGGTGATGAGGATTCAGATGCCTGGAGGAGAGAGGGATAGTGTGAGTGTTCTCACCTGGGGAGAGTACTCCTGTCAACTCCCAGAAGGCCCATTGTTGGTCTTCTCTTTAGGTGGTGTTCAGAGTCCTGTCCTAGAGGCACTGTCCCTAAGAACCCAGGCAGGAGGTGAGACTCCACCTCGGCTGCAGCTTACTCTCAGAGTAGGCTCTAGGGAAGACAGCAGGGATTGTGCAACCTGGGTGAAAGGATTCCCCTCTGTCGTTGGGCAGGTGGAGCCGAAGGCACACCTCAGTGCATGCCCCTTACCTTGACTCCCGGGTCTTCTCTGCTGTGTGATTTGCAGACACCACCTCAGACCAAGACCTTCTGCTCCTGATTCTTAGAGCTCCTGTAAGGGACATGGGAGACAGCTCAGGCTAGAGTCCTCAAGCAGAGTCCCTGGGTTCCAGCTCTCTCAGGGTGGAGGTGGATGGAGTCTGTGAGGTCCCTCTTCTTCTGGTGAAAGGTCCCCTCTCTGCTCACTCAAGGCCCTCAACTGTCTTGAGCAGAACCTAAACCCCAGCCCTTTACTGGCCTGACACAAACTCCTACAGAAAAGTGTCTCCTTGCCTGACAGTGAATAAAGTGCAGTAAAAGAGCTGTTTGTGACTGCAGCTGGAGGTGGCAAATTTAGTTGGGGTCTATGGGACCTAGGGACAGAAACCTGATTCATCCTTATTTGGATATATGGTTAGGTCTGAGATTCTTCTTTGGATGACTGGGAACTTCTTTTGTGAATCTTTAGCCTTGTGTATCTTTAGCCTTGCTTAAAGAGAAAGTGGGCGGGGGGGATCCAGCACACTTGTGTTCCCTGGATCTGACTACAGATGACAAAGGAACAGTTTGAAGCTAGGATCTGTTGTGTTCAGGTGAGTGGGTTCCCTCTACCTCACCTAGCCCTTTGAGAGACCCTGGAATCCTACTTCTGCTGCCCCTGTGTACCAAGGCCTTTGGGTCTCTGAGACCAATGATTCAGAACTGAGAGTGAAGCCTCATTGTGACAACCCTGCCCAGAATTCCAGGGACAACTAAGGGCTCAGGAAGGTACCTGTGCAGTGGTAAACATGTGGGTTCTGGGCAGCAACACTGTCCATCCTCCCTTAGATATCTCGTCTGCCTCGTGGCAGATCCTGAGACTAGTCCCTCCTCACCAGACAGAGTTCCCTGCAGATATCATCTCAGAAAACATTCCTCACCTTCCCAATACCTCCAGGGTTCTCAAAAGAAATGAGCCTGCACAAGTCATGTCACCCTTCTGAGGACTTCAGTGCTGACAGCAGGACCTGTGCCCACCTCTCCTGTGATTCAGGACTCCTTTTGTGGTTTACCCTAGATGCTCATGGGATGATAGGCAAAGCTTCTGAAGATAGATGCATTATGGGGGCTAACAGCTGACCTGGTCTTAGGTGGTGGCCCCTTGTAGGAAAAAGAGGGCCACTGTGTGTGACAGGGAAGATTCTTTCTTCCTACTCTCCCCTTCACACTCTGTTTCCTGTAGGTCTTGAGATATGTGGCTTTGCTCCTGCTGAGCCCTTCCACTCTGCTGTTCTGCCTTGGAGCTGGCTGACTTCCACTGTATTGCAGATTTCAGGAATTGTGTCTCAACAATGAGGTCATAAGCAAGGTACCCACTATATGTTCCTATAGTTCCTCCATCTTTCTTGAGACCGTACCTGCCCGCATGTCTGTGGGATGACGTCACAACTTCTTGCCTGAGTTAGAAGTGAACATGCCACTTAAGGCTTCACTGTTGAGCTAGGATACAAGCAGCTTCTTTGGGTGTGTTGTTTCTTGAAAGCAGGCAGCCTCATTCTTAACAGATCAGTTCTCTCTTGCTCCTGGCTCACAAGAAGTGGAAACGGAATGTACAGAAAGAAATTGAAGCCTCGGGAGTCCAGCAAGTCCCAGGGAGAAAAGCCTTCTATGTAATGGTGGCTGGTACGATCTTCATGTATGTTAAGGAGGTCTGCTCTCACGGAGTCCTTACACAGGCAGAAGTGCTCCAGTGTGCTTATGCAGGTGCCTGCCATATCCTTGGAGAGTGAATGGCTTTGGGTTACATTCCAGGAAGGTGCTGAATGTTTGAACTGGGACTAAGAAGAGCTATGTGATATCTCTACTTCTTGGTTTCCAGTATTACACTCCCACAGTGATTGGGTGAGAGTCTCAGGAAACATCCCTGGACAGCGGATGGACTGTAAAGGGACACCATGAAGGATTTGAGCTCAACTGGAAAGGCACAGGGCCTACCCCCCAAGAGATGCCAGGCGCAGCCAGAACTGCTCTGGATTGAAAGTCTCAGCCATGGATATTCAAGGCCTTGCCTTTCAGCCTGCTTCCAGCATGGATCAGAGGTCTTACTGCCTTCCTTTTCTACTGGGGTGAGAGGACCCACCTTGCTGTAGACGTGCCATAGTCTTGGAAACGCATAAAGTACAGCTTCTGAGAACACTGAGAATTGCTAGATTATAAAATTTAGCATCCTGAAAGGAACAATTTATTCAAATTTCCAGAGACATGTTTTCTTTGTTCTCTTTTTTCTTAGTCCTCTTTTTTCACCTTTCCTTGTACTATTTCATGTTTTTATTCTCCAAATAATTTATTTTCTCTTCTTCCTTTTTTGTCAACCTCTATTTGTAGGGCATTTTTACTGTTATCTTTACCTAATGCTATACACTCACTTCTAATGTAGAACAAGATCTTTGGCTCTACTTTTCTCTCTACATTTTCACATCTGGATTGAGATTCCAAATTGTAATTGTTTCTTTTTCTCTTTCCCAACCCTGTATATCTTCAATGATATAACAATTAAGCTTTACTAATTTTTAGAGAGTTAATCCTATAACATTACCTTTGAAAGTTTTTAGCACTAGAGGAGTTACAGCTGTTGTATTTAGTACATATACACTGTTTTTAGTCTTAATTTTATAATTGTGGATTTCTATTATATGATTAAAGGCAGCACCTAATTACTTGTCATTTTATGTTAATATTCAGTTTGTCTTAGACGATAAAAATGTATCTGATTTGCTTGATAATGCTCTAGTGACATAATGCCACTGATCAGTTTTCTCTGTATGATGATATGCAGATTACCTCTGTGAATTTAACAATACTGAGGCACATTACCAGAGAACTTAGCACTCAGCCAATTACATTGCATCCTCCCATAGCAAGTTAACAGAGGTGGTCAGATCTTAGGGAAGAGGTAAACTCTTGTTAACTATGGCCGAAGTATAGCCCTGAAAAGCAAACTAAGTTAACGGATCTCTTTATTAGCAACAGAAGACTTGATACTAGAATCACCATACACTTCAGCACAAAACAAGCAAGCAAACAAATAGATAATAGAAATATGAAAAGGCAACGGAACTCAATGGCCTCCAGACTTCCACCTCTCCCAAAGCCAATCCAGGAAGCATCAAGGGGAAGAACAGTATAATCTATAAATCATAAGAGGTTAGAAAACAAATCAAAGAGTTGCTCCGTGGAATCACAGAAGATATAAATAAAAAATTACCAAAATATTTCAGAAACTTTCAGAAGTCACTAATTAAAATGTATCTGAGCTAAACAAAATGATAAAAACACCAATGACCAGTTTAGCCAAGAATTAGAGTCTAGTAAAACACAAATCTAGGAGACTGAAAATATTACTGGATGTATGGGCAACAGAATCAAGCAGTGTGAGGAAAGAATATCAGAATTAGATAACAGGAATGCTTTTAAAGTCAGCCTCACAAAGACAACTTAAATCAACAAATGAACCTGCTGAATATTGCAAAAAAGACTAAGAGTAGTAAATGACTAACTGAAAAAACAGAGGAAATGGTATAAAAATGTATTTACAAAAAATCAGAAAACTTCCCCAAAATAAGGCAAAAAATAAACATGCAGGAAGTTCTAGCATATGGAAAGCCAATAGCTACAATCAAATTGAACCTCTCCACGTGATATTATTCTCAAAACACCAGAAGCTTCAAATAGGGGCAAAATCTTAAAAGCAGTTAGAGAAATGTAGTAAATCTCATATACAGATAAATCCAGTGGAACCATGGCAGAGTTCTCAACAGAAAAATTTAGGGCCAGGAGGTCTTGGAGTGCAGTGTTTTGAGCCCTAAAACATAACAAATTCAAACCCTAAATTTTGCATCCTCTAAAGTATTCCTTTGAAATTGATGGAGAAATAAAGTTATTTCCATGAAATGGAGCACTGAAAAAATTCATAATCGCCAAACCAGCATTACAAAATTTCTCAAGCATATCCTAGAAAGAGACAATCAAGCCAGTTATAACTCAAATAGAATGACTGCACCTCGGAAGATGAGCAGCTAAGCAGAAGAAAAGCAATCAAACAACAACCTATGAGGAAATAAGCAAGAAAAACTAATGCAATGACCTGATGATGTCAATTTCTTTCAGTCATAATTCTCAGAGAGAATAGTCCCAGGTCTCTAATGAAATGACAGAGGTTGGCAGAATGTATCAAGAAACAAGACACAAGGATATGAAAGATAAAAGAAACACATTTGGTTCAAAAGGAAATTCTCAGATTAGAAATTGAACGATGGAAAAAAATGTTCCATGCAATGGGAACCTGAAAAAAAGTACAGCAGTAACTATCTTAATTTTAGCCAAAGTGCATGTCAAACTAAATTTATCAGGGGAGACAAATAAGCGAGAGATAAAAAT